TGAAACTGGTAACCCTAGAATTAAATTGTTTTAAATGAACATCCTCTGTGAATGTGTTTACCTTTATATGAAAGCCATGATCATAGGTCATGATAGGAGAGAAACAAAGTGACCACACATCAGCAGGGAGACAGTGCATATGACATGAAGAAGTTTTTCCAGATTGCTGTGGTTACTTTGGCACAGAGATGGTGTTCCAAATGTTCGCTAGAATATTTTACATGAGAATAGAGACACTGTATGCCCACTAATTCTTACAAAATCTATAATATATTCTATATATTATTATTTTATACCTATAATTTTAAAGAATTTCATATGAATACTCTATTTACTTACTTTCTTCTCTCTTTCTCATTTAACAAATACCTCATGAGTCTTCCCCTTCTCCTTTTCAAATCCATAATCTCTTATTCTTAAATCACCATTGCTGCAAATACATGCATACCTATGGAATCCATTTTCTCTCAGTTCTGTCACTTTCGGGTGTTGGCTGCCTGCAAGACCATATTGAAGAGCATTAAGAGAAAGCACCTTTTGAGGTTAGAATATTCTAGTTATATATTTCCTTTCTTGTTAGTGATAGTCAAGCTATTCAGTTTCAAAAGTTGGAAACTTCCTGGTGAACTCTAGTTGAGATCTAGAATAATTTCTGCACATGTTTCAAGCCATTAGTAGGAACTGTTCCTGCTAAAACCCATGTAGGACAGGAACATTCACATTTTGCTCTGTGGAGACCATTTGTTGATTCATTTGTTCAGATTTTGGTCTAATTTTTACCTTCACTCTTTATGAACAACAAGCTTTTGGCATCATTTGTAGTAACTTTACAATAAGTGAAGACATTAGATGAAGTATTTAATCAATCTGAGGCTCAAACAGTAGATATTTTCCTATTGTGTTTTATTGTGGTATTGTACAATAAGGATTACAAATGTTTTAAAGATCTGCATTGCATTATTTAGTAGTATAGGGAATGTTGAATCTAAACTATGTTTCTCTAGCTAGAAACCTAGCTACATTCCATTCCTGGAAGATGTATTTGTTGCTCAATCTCTTACTTTATTGACCAGAGTACGAGACTGCACAATATTTTCTCAGAGATAGGCACCAGCTCTCAACTGCAGTGTTCCTGGTACCAAGTAGATATCTGAGTACTAATATGGTAACAGTAAGAAGATCCAAGAAGGCCCACAGTGTTTCTCTTCAGAGTATTTCCTGCCTAGACCACAACAGGGGAACAGTATGGTTTAGGATGACCAGAATAATCATGCCCAGAGTGAAAATTGGGTGGTAAAGTGCTGAAGTGAATTAAACACAATGAATATGAAAAGAATGGAAAAGATACTCATGAAGAGAAGCATGGTGGGAGACTGGGGTGGCTTTAAAGCATAGTTTCGAGGGACTGAGTGCTAGATGTCACACTGATATGTCTCTTAAACACAGGAATGTCAAGGGTAGAGCTCACTGATGATGGGAGGAGGCACAGGTGTTAGCCGTGAACCTGCTGCTGCCGTGAAGGAGATGCCATTGACCGGAATCAATTCAGGCATTTTATTCGCACAATGGTCATTGTTGCTGACATGTATGGACACAGAGCACTGCTAACTATACTCTCCCTCCTAATTTATAGATGTATTGAATCACCACTAACACACTGAAAACTACTGTTTTGTTGAATGTTCAGCTAACGAGCATAAATTCATAACAAATAACAATTGTGGAATTCAACAGAAAATGATCAGCAAGATATAGCTATAGAAATAGTAACTTTAAGTGGAATAGATTAGCTTAAGCTAAGGGTGAGCAATTATCTCTACCAAACATATCATATAGTGTAAATGTATAATGAAATAAATGTTGTGTGGGGTAGGATCCCTGTTACAATGCAGAGTATACAACCATTGATAAAAACACCTAAGGACATGAGATCAAGTTGAGTTTGCAATCATGGAAAATAAGTACTATTAAATATGGATATTGGTCTCCCATCTCTAGCCCTTTTAGCAGACATGTATGGTTCATAAACAGGATGTGGCCACAGGGCCAGCCTGAAGTCAGTCTGACACAAGTAGCCAGGTGAAATGGCAAGGATTTGCAAGGAAGAATGGTCTGGTCCCCTACTTCCTCATGGCCAACACAAGTAATGCCCCTGGCCAGCACAAGTAATACAAGCTGTCTAGGTCAAAGTTGTTCAGGGGAAGTGCTTCAAGATGATGAAGTCTTCAAGATGTTTAGTGAGTGATAGCATTTGAGCAAATTCCATTTTCATTGATAAAAGCAACTTGGATGTGATAGTGTTAATTGTGACTGGTTTTGCAGTGGAATTTCATCATATCAGTGCAAGAGACACAGCTGGTTGTATTGCTCCCACCATCAGGAAGCTACAGGTACAATACTGTTTCTGCATTTCACTTGTCCTTTTCATTCCGTCTGAGGCCCAAGTACCACCCACAAATTGGTCCTCCTGCCTAAAGTAGCAAGATAAAGATTCTTCCTTATAGAAATAACCAGAGATTTGTCTCTCAGGAGATTCTAGATCCTATCAAGCTACTAATCTATATTAACAAGCACAGTACTGACCCCTGGCAACATGACACATAACTATCACATTTTATGCAATAATTTTCTGTCCCTTTCCACATTGTTAATACCTTAGTCATAGCGCATGACTCACTGGACCCACTCATGAGTCCCCATAGAGAATCAGAGTTTCAACACTGCTCATTCATCCTCTATCTCTATGAAAACTCGGGTAAAAATCTTGAATATGAGATACATATTGTTGAATTGGTATAATGTCAGAAATGAAACATTCCCTTACAAAAGAAGGAATATGGCATATTATCTACATTGTCTATAATTTCATTGTTCGAAGGAAACAAGACAAATGTGATCATTTCATTATATAGTGGCCAACACAAGTAATGCCCCTGGCCAGCACAAGTAATACAAGCTTCCTAGGTCAAAGTTGTTCAGGGGGAGTGCTTCAAGATGATGAAGACTAATGTTTAGAAGGTGATGGCATTTGAACAAATTCCATTTTTCACTGATGAAAGCAATTTTAATTTTATAGTGTTAACTGTGACTGATTTTGCAGTGGAATTTCATCATAGCAGGGCAGATGACACAGCTGGTCGCATTACTCCTACCACCAGGAAGCTACAGGTACAATGTTGTTTCTGCATGTCACTTGTCCTTTTCATTCAGTGTGAGATGCAAAGCATAATACTATCCACAAATTGGCCCTCCTGCCTAAAGCAGCAAGATAAAGGTTCTTCCTCAGGTTTGTCTCTCAGGAAATGCTAAATCCTATCATGCTACCAATCCAAATTAACAATCATAGTACTGACCCCTGGCAACATGGCACATAACTATCACATATTATGTAATATTTTTATGTCCTTTTCCACATAGGACTATACCACGTGACTCACTGGGCCCACTCATGTGTCCGCATACTGAAGCAGAGTTTCAGCACTGCTCATTCTTCCCCTGTGTCTATGAAAACTCATGTCAGTTTCTTGATTGTGAGATACTTATTGTTGAATTGGTACAATTTTAGAAATGAATCATTCCTTTACAAAAAGAAGGAATATGGCATATTATCTATGTTGTTTATAATTTCATTCTTTGAAGGAAACAGGATATATGAGATCATTTCATTATATAGTATAATGTAATAAGTTTTTCATTTTTAATGATTCCAGTATATATTGACTTCATTCCAATTTGCACTAGTTTGTGACAGAGAATACCAGACCTTTGATTATTCTCATAACCCTCTGCAAGTGTTCCACTGTATAAAGATACCATCTACTACTGCAAAGATTTCAAAGGCCATGTGCAAGCAAAAATGGCAGTTAATTTGAAGGGAGTAACTTGCCATGTTTTGAAGAAGTGTAAGTAAAACCACAAAGTTACTGAAATATCCCATGGTCCAGTCACTAGCTTCTTAGGAGCTATACAACAGCAAGGCCCTATTCACTATGTATGTAATCAACTAGTGTCAGGGGATTAGATGTAATCAGTGCTAAGTACAAGAGACTATAGAATGAGATGCCAAAGTCATGATTGCCTGGTGTGCATAAATCTAACTGAGTTACAGGTAGATCTGATGGTGATATTTGACTTCCATAGTACCAGACAGAAGTACATTGGCTACTGCCAGAAAATATCACTAAGGAACCTATTCAGCCAAGGTTAATGACATTACCAAGCCAAGAGGATGTATAGACTTACCTAACAGTGGTACAGCTATTATAAAGGCAGAGAAATATGTTTGGATTTAAGTCTAATTTCATGGATATAACCCATGTTTGTTTACTGTAAATATGGCTGAAAGGCTGTAAATGTGGGTATTATAGACTCCAACTCGACTGTGGCAGAAATTTTTTCCTACAACAAATGTAATTGCTTAACAAAAATACTTCTAAACATTTGTATCTGACCATAGAATATGCTTTTATGTGCCTACTGTGTTAAGGCAAATATTACATAATCTTCCATAAATATTGGGAAAGACTCACAAGATTAAATTGCAAAACATATTTCTTTATTTGCCTTCTTCCCAGTGCTCCAAAAAACAATGCAATCGATATTTTGACACATCTAAGGTTCAGGGAAAATTTCAGAAATAGTATCTAAAATACATAAGAACATGAAAGTAATGAACACTTTGGGCAAAGTAAGCAATTCACAAGAGTTTACCATTGTGATTTGCAATGTAATTTGGACTTCAATCACATACTTAGAATAAAGTAAACAATGCAGTTATACGCAGGTTAATCATCATGGAAATTAGGCTGTATACAGCACCTGAGGGGGAGAGTCAAGGTATCCTCAACTTGGATTTGCATATTACTTCCTCCTTCCCCAGGCAATACACAGCCTTGGGGATAGAGTGAAGCACTATATAGGAGGCAAAATTAACTGAAGGTAGACTGTAGTGGTGAAGATTTCTTGAGTCAGTAGTTGTGCTGTTGTGGGACTCCTCAAAGATGCAGCTATCTTTAACTTTTCCAGGTCTCTGTAAGTAGCTTTTCACTAATGTTCTTTCAAATGACAACCTTATGCATTGCATTGTTTTGCAAAACTGGCTTGGACCATTTCATTTTTTTGTTTGTTTGTTTTTGGTGCTATTGTTTCTTTTTGGTCTTATCGTTCTCAAGTTTAATGAGACTCTTTAGAGCAGAGCTGTCCTTAATTCAACTAATGCTCCTACAATAATTCTTCTCCAGAATTCCTCCAGTTGACCTTAAATATTCCATTATTTAAAATTTAAAAATTAAACAGGTTTGTTCATGTTTTTTGCAGTTGCATTTGTGGGGTTTTTTTAGTTATTGTTGCGTGTGTTATTCTTCTCATATATGCAGTTAATGGAAATTTGCCCACTACCTACCCAGGGAAGCAAAGTCAGGAGGAGCTGAGAAATGTTTTCTAATTATTTCTATAGAAAACAATTGCACAGTGAACTGTTGCATATAGGTTCTGACAGACAAGTCTTTCCTGGAGACATCCAGCAATGGCTAGAATCATTTGTGCACTGCCTTAGTTGACCTAAGTAGAAAAGAAGAATAGCACCTGTGTCTAGTGGCAAAGACCTGCAGTTGAGTCTGTTGAACCATGAGTGTTGAAGAGAGTTCCAGAACACAGGATGATCCACCTCATAGAGCAAAACATGTAAACATTGATATTTCCAGCCAGAGTAAGACAACAAGACTGGATACAATTTATTACAACTACAGAAGGAATAGTGTAACATGTTCTTGCTTCTGGGTCTTGCTTGACTTGAATGAACTTAATCATCTTTTCAGTTTTCTTGATGTAGTATATAAAGGTAGCAGATGTGGCTTTATCCAGCTTCGATAATTTCAGCCAAGCAAAGTCCTTTAATACAAAGGACACTTTGCTAATATTTACCTTTATTTTCTTGAGAGTTTTCCCAAGCAAATTGAATTGTTAACATCCAAAACGTTCATAAAAGCAAAAAGCAAACTCTTGAAATTTATGAAGTTATAAGCCAAAATCATTAGCAACTTTTACTCCTCTTAGAATGTAAAAATCTTTCAGATGATAAATTAAAGCAATTCATATATGTTTATATTTATTTTACACATAAATATCTCTCATGCACAAAGTAGAGTTGGAAAACTCTCATGATTTTTGAAGTTTACTTATATACTGGGAATTATCCAAATAATTCTTATTTATTTTGAAAGGTTCCTGTTTACCTGTATACCACAGAATATTTTAACAGTTTTAGTTATTTTGAGTGTTTAGATTGTGTGCTTTCCATGTGTAAATCTTATTAAGTTTCTAAATTTCTGAAGTACATTTCCAATTGCATTTATCAAAGCTTCTGGGGATTGGGAGTTTTGTCAGACTGGTGTCATTGAAGATGTATTAACTTTCCATTTTTGTACATTGATGAGGATTCATAGTACTGAGATTATAAATTACCAATATGTTATGGTTCTTTTCTTCCCCTTTTTGAAAAATGAGTTGATCATGATACCAATCTAACTCATTACAAAACATTTCATGACTGCTACACAAAGTAAATAAAGGAGATAAAATCAACTTCTTAATGCCTGCATTATCAATGTGTAGCTGTGTAGAATGCTAACAACCTGCTACAACACAAAGCCTCAGGTGCTGTGCGAAGAGACACTCCTTTTTACAACATATGAATGTGCGAAAGTGTAATCCTCGAATTGAATACTCTCATTGGAAAATGTTCATCATTCTCACAAATTAAACCTAACAATTTATGCAAAGGAGGGCACTGTTAGCAAAGGTTTAAATTGATAATATCACTGTAGATAAACTCATATTACTAGATCTCAGAGTCATTATACTCCTTTAACAGGGACACTGCTTCTACTGCTGATGTCCAACCTGCTCCTATGGGAAGATGTGTCCTCATTACCCAGCTGTATAATACGAAATGGACGCTGCTTTTCTTCTCTGGAAGAAATGCTTAATCTAGCAGTCAGTTTGTCTCAGGACATAAATAAACAAGCATTTGAAATGTTCACTGAATTCGTAAGTACTGCCCACTGATTCATGACTTCCTACCAAACTCCTTTTCCATTGAAACTGTTAGGTTGTAGTATAGTCTACAGTGTAAAGCATTGTGATCCAAAGTTCAAACAAAACAGCTTCATAGGTAGAAAATAAAATTAGAGACTATGAGATTGTGAAACCAGAAATTAGGGCAATCTCATGAGATGTCAGATACTTGTCGAAATGTAACTTTAGTTTTCTTGAATTTTAAAACTTTATTTTAATTCATTTTCACGACAAAAATACACACAGACATGCTGAGGAAATGTTTGATTCTTTTTCATTGTATACGATTGTGATATTATTTGTAAACATTATTCAACTTTGTATTTCTCTTGCCTAATAAAAAAGAATAGTGACTCGCAAACATTAAACAAAGCTAGCAACACTGAGGCTATGTCAGGTGAATAAGAAAACTAATATTCAATCTTCATATTCACAAATGTAATTAATAATTTTAAGCTATTACAGACATGTGATTTAATACAAGGGGTCTGATGCAGGAAAGTAGATCAAGTATTCATGATGAAGGTATATTTAGGGCTTTGTGGTACGTGTTCTAATCCTGTTGAGGAGGTGACAAATGTGTAAGATGATGGACTTTTAAGAAGTTGACTCAATGTGAATGTTCTAGGTGACCCAACAGGAAATGTAAATAGCATAAACAATAATATGTCAAGAAATATTATGAATATATAGACTATGTAAGATTCCTCACATTTTCTTGACATATTATTGTCTGCCATTTACATTTATTGATGAGGTACCTAGAGCATTCAAAATCATCCTAAAAGTCCATTCAAGCTACCAAATATATCATTAATAGTGGTTTTGAATAGTAGATATTTTACACAAACGATGTAGAAATACATAAATATTTAACAAATAATTAAATATTGATTACCATGCAATAATCTATTAATTTCCTATTTTAATTGGCTCTTGATTTAATAGTTCACAGTATATTCTCCATAGGGTTTAACACTTGTTTTGACATAGTCAATACAATAGCTTTTTGTATTCCTAATGAACTAAATGAGCGATACTTGTGTAGATGACAATCAGGTATTTGCAAGTAAAGTTGTAACAAATTATATTTTTTTAAAAATTGGTACTTGGTAGCCTTGATAGTTTTTGTTGAATAGGAAAACTAAGAATAGTAAATAGGAGGGGTTTATAAAATTTGAAAATTGTATAGATAAAAAATAAGACTACAGATTTAATGTAAAATGTAGTTAAATGGTTCATTTCCTCATATATTAATTTCAGTTTTAATCTTTCAAAATGAAACATGTATCAAGTGTAATTAGTGTATTGATTCATTTAAACAATTTCCAGTCATCAAGTAATTATGGATTTTATAATTTCCAGAAAAATCAGTATGCTCAGAGCCATCAGCTCATCAACAAGAGCCTCAAAAAATGCCACACATCTTCTCTCGATCTTCCAAAACCCAGGAATAAAGCCCTGAAGACACATGTGAGTCTCTACAAATGGCATTTCTTTCTCCAAATCCACACACTGGCTTTACCATACTATAAGTTATTAGAGTCAGTTTATTGAGTATGATAGTCATATCTGCAAGAAATAGAGAAGTAATTAGCAATAAAGGAAATTTTACTATGTGGTTCAAAAAGTGTAAGGAATATCTGTCAAGTAACATTTAACAGATCTATAAATCATTTATGGAAAGGACCCTCGTTTAGTGCCAAACCTTAAGGATCTACATATTCTATAGAAAAAGTAAAATTATAATTGACATTCATGGTGTAGTACAGTAATATGGATTTATGTGATGACAATGTGTTTTTTTTAATGTGTTGATAATGGACCTTGTGTTGACAGCTCTAAACATTACTAATTCATTCACCATGTCTTCTTGGTACGTCTGGTTTTACTTATGTTTCTGATCCTAAGTGTTGATTCCTAACTGATTCTTCTGCCTTTACCCATGTCAGCTAAATGAGTACAGTTAACATTTAAAAATGTTTCACAGTGTGTAACCATTCCCACTTCATGCTGACAAGGCTACATATAGTGCAAGTATCCATTAATTCCTAATCCTTATCATATCATGCTCTGATTTCCTGCCATAAATAATCTCATTGTAATTTAAATTGAACGTTATTGTTTATCCTTACACAACCCCATACTTAGAATGCATATTCCAGGTGTTACTTAATAGTAAACATTCTATATCTCCAGAACTCTTATTAAAATAATGATGAATTAAATAAGGAAAGTGGGGAAAATGGAGCTGAGAATACATTTAATAAAAGGTACTACTTTGCTAACAATATTAAAATGCTCTGCTGCCATTTCTGAATTCAATCCACTCAAGTTTTACACCACAAGATCAATGGTAATATTTCATATCTTTAAAAACAAATATTTTAAATATACACATGAGTAACAAAGAGCTTATTTCATCATTTTGAATAGAAACTGTCTGTGTATAACACTGATGTTTTTCACTTGTTTTAATATGATTGTTCAAATATGATTACCTAGCCAGTCGTCCTACTGAAATTAGTGGAAAGCTTATTGGCCGCCTGGAAAGACCCTCTGTACCATCTAGTGAAAGAAATGCCTTCCTTGGGAGATGTGCCTGCTACTATCCTCTCAAAAGCCAGAGAGATTGAGCAAAAGAACACTGGACTCCTGGAGGGGATCAGGAGTCTTCTAAGCCAGGTGAGCAGTCCCTTTACTTTTCTTAATAGACGAGGTAACCAGGGCAAGGAGAATTGAGTTCTGAAAAATGTCTCTTTACAAGAGAGAACTGAAGACATTGAAATGTATCACCCAAACACGCTATTAAAGGGGAGAACGGTACTTCTAACTATCTGAAGGATGCTTCACTCATAATTTCACTTCCTAGGGAACTCAGAAGAAAACATCTGCTCATCATTTATGTTGGGACATGAACCTTTGTAGTCCAAAAGTCATTCACATGGGCACATGGGCAGATAACTTAGCATGGTTATCCCTTGAATATGCTCATCTTAAATGGCCAAGGGCATGGGTCACTGAATCTCAGGTTTGGGTTGTATACATTATATGAAGGATTGATTTGGTCAAAGGCAAGAAAGGTTAACATCACAATATAAGATCCTATTTAGAAAAAAAAAGGGCAATTCAGGATCTGTATTGAAGATGGGTAATACTACTAAGAAATTGAATGGACACTGGATCTTTCCTTGTTCTTTTCTCAAATCCATGTCTGAAATCAAGTAAGTACCTGTCAGTCCATCCTAAAACTTCTGCAAGACTTAATTTATCATGCAGAAAATGCATATATCTATTTGTCACACTTTTGGTACCTTGATAAAATTCTCATGAAAAAACATAGGTTTAGCTGAGGTAAACAATCGTTACTCTCCTCAAGTATTCATCCCACATTTTAAAAAGTTATGCATCCCTAAAATACTAAAATAGAACTGATTGCTAACTCTCCTTTGATGATTAGGTTCCAAGTAGAAATGACGGAAATGAGAACTACCCTGCCTGGTCTGGGCTTGCATCCTTGAAGTCCAACAATGAAGACGTTCGCCAGTTTGCATTTTATAATCTGATCCACTGTGCAGGCAAAAATGCTCAAAAGGTTGAAACTGCTCTCAAGATCGTGAAGTGTAAAATATTAAAACAAAAAACCTGCTAATCTCTTTCTATTACATCTCTTTCTGACATGCTGCTCGATGATAGGTTGATGTAAAACTTGTTTAATTTTTCTATTTTGATTGCATGCTGGTATGATGGTTGTCTTCTTTTAAATTAAAAATGGACTCCATATATAAGAATGTCTGAGAAGCCAATTCGTCACAATTGCTCTGCTTCGTTTAATTTTTAAATAACTATATTCATGCAATTAAATGTTCCCATGAAATATTTCACAAATAACACAAGTTAGGCATGTGACTATGATATTTCTTTTTTTAAATAAAATTTATTTAAATTAGAAACAATCTTATTTTACATATCAATCCCAGTTTCCTATCCCTCCTATTCCCCCACCCATTCCCCATCCATTCCCCAGAGAGGGTGAGGCCTTCCATGAGGGTTCATCAAAATCTGTTAAGTCATTTGGTGCTGAGCCTAGGCTCCCCACTCTGTATCTAGGCTAAGAGAGTATCCTTCCATGGAAAATGGACTCCAGAAGTTATGTTGTGTACTAGGAATATATCCTGGTTCCACTGCCAGGTACCAATAGACTGGCCAATGCTCCTAACACACACACAGATTCATGGGGCCTGTCTTGGTCACATGTTGGTTCCCCAACTGACAGACTAATCCAAGAGTTCCCTCTTGCTCAGGTCAGCTGTTTCTGTGGGTTTTCCCAGCATGGTCTTGACCCCTTTGCCACTCCTCCCTCTTTGAAACTGGATTCCAGGAGTTTGGTTCAGTGCTTGACTGTGGATCTTTGCTTCTGCTTCTGCTTCCAGCTACTGGATGAAGGCTGTAGGATGACATTTATATTTCAAAGCTAATTTAACCATTAGGGAATATCAAAGTGTATAAAGTCATTAGGCTCTAAGGGAGACACTTTTGCCATAATATTTTTTATTATTATTATTTTAATTTTAAATAGCTTGTTTTACATGTAAATCCCAGATCCCTCTCCTTCCCCTCCTCCCGCATCCCCCACCATCCACCCAGCCTACCACCCTATTGCCATTTCCTTCCAGATAGGGGATATCTAGAGTCTGTCATTTCACTCAGGGCAGGGTCCAGACACTCCCCTAAGAGTTCAGGCTGAGAGAGCATCCCTCTTTGTGTTATGGACACACTATGTCTGTTTGTATGCCAGGGATAAACACTGATCCACTGCTCAGGGCCCCATAGGTTTCCCAGGCCTCCTCACTGACTCTCACATTCAGGGAGTCTGGATCAGTCTCATGCTGGCTTCCCAGCTGTCGGTCTGGGGTCCAAGAGCTCTCCCCTGTTCAGATCAGCTGTCTCTGCTGGTTTTGCCAGCCAATTCTTTGCCAATTTGCTCACCGCTCCTCTCTCTCTGTCACTGCATTCCTTGGGTTCAGTTCAGTGTTTAACTGTGGGTGTTTGCCTCTGCTTCCATCAGTCACTGTATGAAGGCTCCAGGATGGTTATAGACATCAAGTTCATTATCTGGAATGAGCATTCGAGGTGGTCTCTCCACTATTGCTTAGCTTGCCAATCGGTGTCATCCCTTTAGATCACTAGAGGTTACACTGGTGCCTGATCTGTCTTCTAACCTATGATTCCCTATCCCCCTATTCTACCCCCCACTGAACCTTCCTGTTCCCCCATAACCTACTCTCTCTTCCCCTTCTCACCCTCTCTTCTTCCCAGAAGGGAGACATTTTTTACATCTCTCTATATTCAGACTGTTCCAAAACTTGGGATTCATAATGAAAGTATGCTGACTTTGCAACACAAGTGCAAGAGAACTAGGTCTCCCTAGCATTGTGATGATTTTTGGAAAACCTTAAGTATCTTAGGACACAAGTATAGAATGGTTCCTGATTTCTCTGCAACTGTCTTCAGACTGCTCCTCTGATTTCTGGTTGACTTAGCATCACCTCAATCACTGCTGTATGCTCTATTCACTGGGTATCTAAAGTCTTTTCTGGATGATACCCAATTTGACATCTTTTTCATACTATTTAGTATTTTCCTTTCATCCTCTACTGGCTAAAGATACATAACAAGCAATGAAAGGTCTACAGTTCCTAGGATGTTTATTTCCTTTCATTTTTTCCCATATTTCCATTCCAATAATTTTTTCAGTGAGTACATAAAGGATTAGAAGACAAACCAATTAAAAACCTCTAATTTATTGCATGACTAAGTTTATTGCTCACTAGACTAATGCCTATTACTGAAAAAAATTACTCCCATACATGTCAATGAACACTGGAAATAGATACAAACCACTATGTGGTTCATATATTAAGTGGAATTCTCTAATATTGCTAACAAGAAAGATGAGATATCATTTTCGAGAAAATGGATGCAATTGGAGATAATCACATTAAATTCATTAACTCAGTAATAAATAGGCAAGAATATGTTTGGTGATCTAAAATTTCACAAACTTAGGTAAACTACTGTGTTTTTAGAGTCCCAGAGGATTTATAAGTCAAAATGATATTCTCTATGGGAACAAAGTAAGCTATCATGATATGTATTAGAAAAATGAATTATATTGTAGAATGGGACAAAATGTCTCCAAAACATCTTTATACACTTGTGCTGAAATGGTCATATATAATCAAATAGACCTAAAGGGATAAGACTCTCATCCCCAACAAACATCACTTGCCAATAACTCCTCAGCAAGCCTGACATTTCAAAGTCTGTACATCCTCTCTTTCCTTTATCTTATGTAGAAGTGTTGTGTATAATGAAAGCTTCTCTGAATTCATATACACCTTATCTGTCTCGTGTCCATGGTATATCATTCCTCCCAATTTCCCAGACTTATTATTTTTTCCATTCTTCTCCCTAGGTATCCCCTCTGTATATTTTAATAAGATTTTATGGTTAAAGGTTTTTAGAGAACATGTTCAAAATCTTTAGTTTTATTTACCCCTTTCCACACTCCCTGTTCTGTCCTCTCCTGTCTGCCAATATATTCCAATTTTCCTGTCCTATTATTTCTCTTTCACCTATTTAATATTTGAATTGTATCCCACTTCCTTTAAATTATCTCCCATAGAAACTAATAGTTTTCTGACATGTATAGATACTCTAATTCAAATACAAAATCAACAATTCAAAGCTAGTGTCTACGTATGTGTTTCTTTCTGTGTTTGACTTACCTCATTGAGTATCAATGTAAAGGGTGGAGTTTCATCAAAAAGTTGAAAATATATCTTCCATGTGATTCAGCTATAGCATCCCTGAGTAATAATAAAAGGACTTATAGCCTACTCTAGAAATGCCTACACATCCATGTTCATTGCTGCTGTATTCACCCTAGCCATGAAATGTACACAACCTAGATGCCCATAAACTAATAAGGAAGAATGAAAGAGTTGTACATTTGCACAACAGACTACTACTCAATTGTTAAGAAAAATGAAATTAGCAGGCAAATGTCTGGAACTAGAAAATAATCATTCTGAGTGAGATTATCCAGACTCAGAAAAACAAATTTTCCACGTTTCATTGATATTATTTAGATTTGAATCTTTATATTTGTGTGTTTCATTTCAATACCTAGAGAAGTCTAGAAGTTAATAAGTAGTTATTATCAAGGATTGCTTGTAAGGGAGGGAGGATAGAACACAGTGGTATAAAAGATGAAGGGAAATAATGGAACATGAAGTGCTAAACTGGGTGGGAAATTGCAGGGCAACATGAGAGTGTAACATCTCTTATACCCCTGAATATTTACAGTCTATTGCTAATGCTACTAGTTACCCTGCAAAATTTACTGTGCTTTAAGACCTTATTGCTGAAGACATTGCATACCACAGGCAAAAAAAAACATGGAGAAATTAAGCTGGCACTATACTGGAAGCTGCTGCATGCCTACTATCTAGCTATCAAAGTACTGGAAGGTATTATACATGTTATAGAAAGAGAAAATTTCCAGTCTTACCCTTCTGTGATCCCTACCAGATATGGTAACAACTGGTCTTACGAAACATGCCAACTGGTACAATAGTGGCCTTAGTATCACAGGAGAAACCAGCAGCATTCTGATTAGATTTAATTTTATGAAATTCATATCTGGCATCATTATTGGCACAGGAATCTATGTTGAGTCAGGTCAAAGGTCTTAAGGAATGGTCTGTACATCATGAAATAGAAATGTGTTAAATGGAATGCGTGTAATTCATTATTATATCAATAGGCTAATACAAACTCAATCTCAATCAGAGAAATTTATTTTGCCATTGATAGTAATTAATACAGAGACCAACAACTAGCTGAGGTAAATAAAGTAAGAATGTATGGAATGCTTGACCCTAAGTTAGAATCTTAATCACATTCTCTCTCCATGAGGCTCAGGGATTTTTATAGATGAGAAAGCATAAATAATATAACAGGCAAATGCAATGATTCTCGACACAGCAGGACAGTGGTATGAATTCATAGCAGTTCTGCTATCATGCACAATCCTGTATAAGCTCAAGCAAGATCAAATCCCACTATGGAGAAGAGAAGGCAAAAGTCTTACCACTAGCCATGGGACTATTGACAATACAAAGTTGCTGATAGAGTCAGTTTTCCCTATGATTGCAGTCCTTGGTAATTCAAATATGTTCTAGTGGGAGACCACATATCCAAGAATATGTTTTTAAAAAATTAAATAAAACATTGGGTGAGTAGGTAGAAGAGGGGTAGATCAAGGAGAAACTGGATTAGCAAGTGTGGTAGCTTGAATGAGAATGGTCCTCATAGGTTCATGGATTTGAATACTTGGTCACCTAGGAGTGGAAGTATTTGAAAGGATTAGATATTACCTTGTTGGAGAAAGTATGTCAATTAGGGTGGTCTTTGAGGGTTCAAGAAACCTATTCCAAGCCCATAGTCTCTCTTCCTACTGCTTGTGGACTTGGATGCAGAACTTTCAACTACTTTTTCAGCATCATGACTGCCTTCATGTCACCATGCCCCCTGCCATTATGACAGTAGACTAAACCTCCGAAATGGTAAGCAAACCCCAATTTAATGTCTCTCTTTATAAGAGTTATCATGGTGATAGTGTCTCTTCAGCGCAATAAGACAGGAAGTAAATATGATGAAAAAC